ATTTGCTCTAATGGAGGGCCACAATGAATACCTCGTTCCAAGTCCTCCCTGGGCAGAAACTGCTCTACCTAATGAAGGTCTAACTCTCACTTCCCACCAGCTGAGGACACAGCCCTGCACAAAGGATGAAAGAACATGATCCAGCTAATTCAGCACAGGCAGCTTTATAATTTAGATATTAAACACCTAATTTGTGGGTTTTTTTTAAACAGGGTTACATTACAGAGTTATTGAACTGGACTGAATTTCAATGAAGTAGTGTCAGGGGTTTTCTTTCCACCACCCCTCCCCCTTTGCTCAGCATGGCCTCCCAGCTGTAAACAACTCCAAGAGGAGCTGGCAAGGAGTGATTAGATGTGCAGATTGCTCCGTACGCCCTTCACATCCACAATGAAGAAAATTCGCTTTACCAGGACCCCAAAACACAAAGGTCATGAAACGTTTAAAATTTTCTTCGCAGATGACGTTAATAAATTATGATTCATCCTCCACATGCAGGACTCCACGCCAGCCTGCAGCGAAGCACGTGCTGGGATGTCTTTAATGTGCTCCCCTGTCTTTCTGATTTGGGGCTGGAGACTCAGGGCCCAGCAGGACAAGCGTGTGCTGTGCTGGCAGCAAACAAGCAGCCTGCTTTGTTCCAGCAGCACGTCCCTCCTTGGGCTGGGCATTCCCGAGTGCTCTGCCAGCCCAGGAATGGCCACATGTTTTAATTACTGATTGCTTATGTTAAGAGTGAGCCTGTCCCAGTGAGGAACACGATCACCTCCCCCGTGAAAAGAGTAACTGCAGAACAGAAACAGCCAGATACCATAACGACACGATTAAGGATTGAAGCAGCGAGCAGATAATTTAAAAAAAAAAAAAAAATTTACAAAAACTTAACTTATGAGGCAGGTTGAGAAATGACACCAAAGGTCTTTCCTTCACGACAGCTTCATTTACAAGTAAAGCTCAGCAAGTTTGAAATACTTTTTATCACAAGAACCCCAAACTTGTTTATCACAGTTACGGCAGAGCTCCTGACCGAAGGGTGTGCCGGTTTCTGCTGTAGCCACTCCCCTCCTCTTCTCCAAGGTTTATTGCTCAGCTCCTTGGGAAAAGGAGTGGGCTGCTTGAGGCTTTAGAAAGTGCAGAGAATAAGTCAGTTTTTCCCTTTAGAAAAGAAGCAGACACCAAAAACTCAAACATGGAGAAATAACGACAAAAAAAAAAAAAAAATTGAGAGGGTGTGTAGTTTGGCATTTGATTTTAAAGTGGCTACTCTGGATGTTTTCAGATATACAAAAGGGGAAGGATTTTTAACATGGAAGAGCAGCTTTCCACATTTAAAAAAAAAAAAATGATACCAACACACAAATATCTTTTGGGCCCATCTTTAAAAGCACGTGTGTTGAACAAAGGCAAAATACCACCAACTGGGAGCATTCAGGAACAACGTGCTCTTCCACACAGCTCCCCTCTAACTCCACTTAGCCTGCAAGAATTTTGGCTGTGACTTGTTATGGATTGGCAGGGCAGAATCAAATAAGGCTGTGAACAACAGAGGATCCTGACTAGAGGAAGATCAAATGACAGTTTCAGGAGTAACAGAACTCACAATTATTCACTGTAGCACATCTACTGTTTCAAAAAGTAACAGTTCCTTCCCGGAACCCCAAGGTAAAGGATGAGGTTTTTGACATCAGGGTCTGGCATTTGGTACAAAGTTAACTTGTTCCTATGGCTTCTCTGCTGTGAGACCATCCCTGGTACGGAACAGTTGGGGTCACAGATTGTCAGGAGACTCTTTGGCTGTCAGTGTGAAAACCGGTGCACATCCTTGAGGCTTTTCTGGAGCCTTTCACTGGAC